TTAACCAAATTTGGATAAATATTTTCTTACCAACATAGACTATACAGATATACTCACCAACTCTACACTTGAATCTGAAAAATTATTAATTCTGTTCAATACTAAAGAAGTAATCTTTCTTACAAAGAATTCAAATATACTTCACATAGTTGAATAGAATAGTTTATGGTTTAAAGTGTTCTCAAATGTCTTAATTAATGGTCAAAAAGTGTTGGTGAATATCTATTACTTGGTGAAAAATATTTTAAGAGATCAAGTATATTTGTCATTGTGATGAATATTTAAACAATAGTTGTAACCTGATAAAGTTTATTTTGTAAATAAAATATCTTTATTTGTAAAAAAAATTTGAATGAGTGTTATTTCGATTTACAAAACTTTTTACTGAAAACTATCATTTTTTGTATATTATTAATTAAGTATTCAAAAGATTACTCAAGTATCTTTGTCATAGATCTAACTTTATCAACAACAAATTATTTTATTCATCATTAGCAAGTTATTTTTTATAAACTTTATTTAGCTTTATAAAGTTATATAAATATTATATTATTTATATAATATAAAATCTATACAAATTTTATTTATATCTTTATACAAAATAATTTTTTTAATTTATTTCAGCTATTTCTCAAAAGTGATTAAGATAATCACCAATCGATGCACTAAGTAAGCATGTTCAGCATACTCAAAAATCTTTCCCAAACTTCTGATTTAAACTTTAAATCTAATCCTAGCCTTAATATTTAAATTAAATTTTTTTGCTATTTTATATAATTTTACATAGAAAATATATAGATTTAAATAAATAGATGGGGTTGAGTCAGTAGAAATCAAGCAATTTTTTTTAGTAAATTTTTTAAAAACTTTAAATAACAAAAACTTAACAAAAATTTAATGTATTTTAATAAAAATTTTTTTAAAAAATTCTATAAACTTATGAAATTTATTTAAAAAATTTTATTAAATTTGACCAAGTTTTTGTTAAGTTATTGATGTAAAGTTCTAAAAAAAATTCAATAAAAACAATTTGCTTGATTTCTATTGACTCACTCCAGATATACAAATCTGCAATAATTTTATAAAGTTTTTATAAAACTTCATAAAAATTTTACATAATTTTTTATAAAATTCTACATAGTTTTACAGAAAAACAACATTGTGATGATTATAGTAAAATGTTTTTATAAAAAAAATAGAATGTTAAAACAATTTTATAGCACACGATTAATGTACACTATTATTTCTATTATCATAAATAAATAAATCAAAAGTAGTGTGAATTATTCTTTACATTAAAATGTTAATAAAAATGTAAAAGTGATAAACTAAATTGCTACACGATCAAGAAAAGTCCACATTTTGATCTACATTTTTTACATGAATTAAATGCTTTGATAAAAATATAATGGACGGGATGAGAACTAAATAATTAATGTGCAGCCATCTTCCCCTTATCAACATCTTTATCACTTACATTGTAACACTTAATCTAGCATAGGCTGTTAGCTTGCTCTAGTAGAGTCTTGGGCTGAGGATAAACTAAGCTGTAGGTCTCTGTAGCAATTTATGTAGTCAATCTTAAACAATGTAATGCATATTTTATTCAATAAAGACCGAGACCAGGCCTAACTCTATACACTACTTATCATAATTATTGTTTCACTTGAAAAAAATTTTTGAATTACAATATTTTGAGATCCAATAGATGTATACCTTTGAATTTTAAATATTATAAAACTTATGACTTTATTTATAATATACTCTATATTCGAAAATCAGTTGATATAAATTTTGTGAAAAAATTTAAATTGAACAATTTTTTTTGTGATGCAATCTTTATGAAATCTATAAGTAAAAATAATTAGTTAAAATTTATATAAAAGGCAGTTTCTAATAAAATTATTATTTTATCATGTGATTTAATTTAATACGCATCAAAAAGACATAATTTAGTAATATGGATAAAAAAATAAGCTGCTACTATAAAAATAGTATAAAATACAGGTATAGATATAACTAAAAATTTGTTTTTCTAGTAAATTACTATTCAAAAAATTTTTTTTTTTGTATGCAAATTTGTGTTAAAAAAAAAAAAAAAAAGAATTTTTGACTATTTTTATAATAGCAACTTTATTTTTTTATCTATATTACTAAATTATGTCTTCTTGATGCGCATTAAAATTAAATCGCATGATAAATAATAATTTTTATTAGAAATTGCCTTTTATATAAATTTTAACTAATTATTTTTACTTATAGATTCCATAAATATTGCATTACAAAAAAATTGTTTAATTTAAATTTTTTCATAAAATTATATATTAAATGATCAAATTTAGATATATTACAAAGGATTTTACTAAAACGCACCTATGGTGTTTTATATCTATGTATACATTATCTCTAAAACTGGTTAATTAATCAGTGCGAGGTGTTCTAAGTAAAAATGTTCTAATCCCCCAAAAACCCTTTCCAAACTCTAATCCTAACCTTAATGTTACTTTAATATAAAATATTAGTGTTAAAAATTTTGTATACAAAACTTATAAAAACTTAGAAAATTTTAAAAAACATAATCAAAACATATAATAGGTGCAAAACCACCATAGGTGTGTTTTATAATAATTGTATTATAAATGAAGTTATAACTTTTATAATATTTAAAATTTAAAGATATACATCTATTAGCAAAAATACTATTCTGATGTATCGCAGTACTGATCCTGATGGTGTTAAAAAAAATTTTATTTGAGTACTGTTTCTGATAGGGTTCTAAAAATGAACACTAAACTTAACTTTGTTTAATATGCTTTCGCTATAGTAATATATTATTTTAGAGTCCATTTTTTAGAAACCTATCAGGAACGATGTGTAAATCATTTTTTTTCTACCCTATCAGGAACAGTACTAACGATCCATCAGGAATGGTATTTTTGCTATCTATTGAATCTCGAAATATTGTAATTCAAATTTTTTTTCAAGTAGAACAATAATTATGATAGATGTCAGCATTGACCAAAGAAATCAAGTCCTTAGTAGTTAAGAACCCAAAGTGAGGCAAGTTCTATTAAGCCAGATAAGCATCTTTAGAGTTGGTATTTAATAGAATTATAGAGATAAATTTTTTATAATTTGTTGAGTAATCTGAATACCCAAATAAAGAAAGCAGGATTGCTAAATTAATTTGAAAAAAAATAATTAATTATAATTTAATTACAATATTGTTAAATATTGCAGATTGCTATTACAAGATATAATTAACTAATTAGAAAAAATTAAGAAAATTAGGAAAAAAATTAAGAAAAAAATTAAAATTTTTAAATATACTAAAATTTTATTTTACTAAACTAGTTTAGAGTTTTAAAAGATTTTAGTATTTTGATTTTGTACATATATGTTCTGTATCGATATAGGATTTAAGTCGATTTGGAATTGGCATCTGTCATTTGTGAACATGAAATAAAGTAGGTTATTTTAGAAATAGTATTTATTTTTTGGTTAAAAAAAGTGAAAAAAGTTTGAAAAAATAAAACTAATAAATTCAGAAATAAAAAGTGAATTAAAATAATTATTATTTGCTTTCCTAACATTAATTCTAGATAAATTTTCATACATTAAGCAAAAAATTAATTAAAATAAAATAAATTTAAGAAATAAAAAGTGATTAAAAATATATTATTATATGCTCTCTTAATGTTAATTACTAGCTAAATTAAACAAAAATTAATTAAAATAAATAAATTTAATAAATAAAAAATGAATAAAAATGATTAGATACACACCCAACGTTAATAACTAGCCAAACTTTTATTTTTTAAATATATATTCAATATTCATATATAATTTAACTATTAATTAAAAGTTAATTTTGCATTCCACACATAGAACACATCCACATTTTCTTGAGCATAATGAATTTTTTTTCTGCAAAAACATGATTTGGTGCTGTAATTTGTTTTTTGGCAACATGTTTTTTGTTGAGTATCTTGACTAGAACTAATATTATTATTCATAATGCTAATATTGCAAAAATTATTAAAATTATTATTATTAATATTATTATGATTATTATGTTTTTATTACTTACTCAAGGAACATATTTGATAGGTACTCACTAATACTATGAGCATGGCAACCTTGAAGATTATAGGTTGAATATTTGTGATTATTATTAGTCAAGCTTCTATTGTTACGAGTAAGGTTTGTCTAGCACCTGCTTCTTTTAACAAAAGTATATTATTTAATGATACAATATTGAGATTAGTATAATTAGGAGTATCTAGTAGCTCAAAGTACCAATTGTCGAGAATCCCAAATTTGCAGGTGACTTGGTAAGAATCACAATTAGAATTCCTTTGAATGACTTTACAAGGTAGAGATCTTTGATCCATTTTTAATTTAACAATGGTGGAAATATGAATTTTTACTAAATCATCAGGTTTGTTTGTATGTTTGATTTCATCTTGTTTTTTACTTTGCTTCTAATTTGTTTTTAATAAATTCACAGGTCTTTTAATATTTAAAAGAGCAGCATGTTGAATAATTCAATGTTTTAGATATATAACTATTATGAATTTGTAATATTAAGTAATTGTATTTTGGACTAAAATATTTGAAATTATAATAAAATTATAAAATAAAGCTATAAAATAAAATAAAAATAAAATAAAAAATAAAATAATAATAATATATTGATATTCATATTCACTGTTTCTTTAAATTCAGCATCTATATTTTCTATTTTACTGCAATTTTCCTTTTAAATAACAGTATATTCATTTTCAATTTATTTTGATTCTGAATCACTAATTTATATAATTTCTTGAACATTAATTTTTTATCAATAATTTCATTACTGTAATTTGATACAATCATCAATTCAGAGCTACTTTAAAATTCTCAAATTAAAGCATCCAAATTCAGAGGCTAATTTATTGTCACCAGATTCAGAAATCTATACATAGAACATCTGATATAAAAACAAACTAAGGTGCATTTTAATCTGTGCTAAGGGCAACCTTCAATGCTTTTAATTTGGGATCTTCTATGCTATTTAATTCAGGACCTTCTATGCCTTCTAATTCAGGCTTTCTATATATTCTAATTTGAGACCTTCTATGTTTTTTTTAAAATTTAGAATCATCTATACTTTCTAATTTGGGACTTTTTATGCTTTCCAACTCAAAATCTTCTATGTTTTCTAATTCGATATCTTTTACTATAGTGCTATATAAAGTTGAATTTCCTGATTCATTAATATCTAAATTATAATTTTCATTATTATTATAATTATCATTTTCTGCTATTAGAATGTTACTTAAATTTGTATCATTATAAGGATATTGACCAAATATCATACAATAGAATGTCATTTTATATGAAAAACAATTTTGATTGTTTATCGCCCTTGCATAATAAAAAATTTAATAAAAATAAATAAAATCAAATAAAACAATAAAATAAAAATTATAAGAAATATTAATAAAAATAAATAAATAAAATAAAAAATACTTATATATAACACTTTTTAAACCAATGCTCCAGTCAGTTTTTCTTATATTTTTCATTAACGCCCCTTGTTTTACTTCAGGATATCATTACCTTTCTCTATGAGTTTTTGATATCAGGAATTTTGAGGATGACTATGTATCATTTTTATTGTTGACTAAAATTTCAGCATTTCCTTAAAAGTATTACTAACAAACTCTCCTCCATTATCAGTATGGAAAATTGCTAGGAACCGTATATAAAATAAAAATTATGAAATATTGTGGCAGCTTCTTCAACTAATTTAGACTGAGCTGGTTCGATATAAGAGAATTGACTGAAATAGTCTTTTATGTAAAAAATATCTTCTCCATCAGGAATGGCTATTATATTGATAGTTTCAAACCAATGCAATTTAATCTAACTATATAAATTTATTTATTAAAGTTAATATAATACATATACTTAAATATAATTTAGTTAGCTTTCAGAACAATAGGGCACATTGGTAAAACTTTTTTAGAAATATGTTGAGTAATACACACTCTACATTCATTAATTGCATTCTCAACTAACTGCTGGAGAATATAATCTGAATCTAATAAGAAAGTTAAAAACAATCATAAATTTACTCTTTTTCAGATTTTTTTATGGCCACTGTGCTCAGTTGCTTGATGGGCAGTACAAACTATTTGTAAAAATTTTGATATAACAAACTTGTGTTTTCTGGTTATTCTTATCTTGTTTAAGCAAATGCAGTTTCTCTGTTGCACCAATATAATGAACTTTAAAAGTATTAACCACACAATATTTGAACTTTGTGTTATACTGAAAGACTGGATTTTTTAGTGCATTTAAACATTCATTATAGCGACTTCTATCTAACAAGATTTACTTGTTTTTTTTTGTTAATAAATGTCTCTAATATTCAGTTAAAAGTTTCACGGTCATAAAATTATATTCTTGCGAATTCATAAGAGTTGAAATAAATATGTAATAAAAGCGATAAAAAACAATTCAAATATAATGAATAAAAAAAGAAATAAAGTATGTAACTATAAAAAATTAATTGTAAAAGTCAATGTAAAAGTTAATGTAAAAATCAATATAAATACTAGTAATAAAATGGCAACATTTATAAGGCTGGAGCCTGATTTATTAGGTGTTCAAATTGTTCAATTCGAAATAAAAATTTTTAGCATTGTTACTAAGTATTTAAAATATACTTTATGAATATTTATAAGTTTAATTGATGCGCATGTGAAAAGATAAAGTCCAATTTAATAATTTACAAGAAAGCAATTTCTGCTTTTCAACTAATCTTTGTTGTAGACGTGTACTTGCTCACAATTTTTGTAATCTATTATAAAAAAGCACTGCTAAAAAGAAGATCGGAAAGGTCACGGACTCTTAACACAGCTACAAATGTAAAACTTATAGCAAATTACTTATTGTCAATATCTAATACAGTTCATAATAATGTTAAATCTTTTGACTTGTAAATTGTAATTGCACAAGAAAGTCAATGAAAATTGCATATAAGAACCAGTTCCAAATTTTCCTTCCTATGTATATCTAATTAAGCAAATCGGTACTGCTTGTAAGCTATTTGATGTAGGCAGTGTTAGACCTATATAATTATTCATTTTGAGCAGTATTAGTGTAGGCAAAGTGGGTGGCATCTTCCCTAGTTCATATATCATATTGATGACTATTTCCATTGCACTATTAACCAATCTGTAATAATCAATCAAACATAAAACCATTTTCTGGAGGAGTATGCAATATATCATAATCAATTTTAATACTGGAATAAAAAGGATTATTGATTTAAGATAATTTAACCAGATTAAAATATTTGAATGTTTAATATTAAATTTTTGAAATTAAGTAAATTTTTGATTAGTTTTTTTATTATTAATTAGTATATATATATTTTTTTTTTATGCACCAAGATCCATAATATTCTCGATTAAAAACCCTCTTATTAATTTTCCTTTATTGCATCTATTACATAATTCTGTTTTATGTACTAATACGATAATAGATTTATATTTAGTTTTCTAATAATATTTTAACAGACTTGTCTTTTTGCTGATTTATTATTTCAGTAATTTAATTGTTTTTCAGGTGTTATAAAAGCTAATTCCCTTTTTTCAAGCATCATTTCTTGCGACTTTTGCTCAATTGTATAAATTCTTATATATTTTCACCTTTTAAAGAACTTTAATATGACAAATTAGAGAACTTTAATATGACAAATTGGAGAACTTCAATATGATAAATTATTAGTCATATAATTTATTTATCATTATTATTAGTTATATAGTTTGTTTGTTTATTAGTCATATAGTTTATTTATCTTTATAATTTTTTCTGATTGATTTCTGATTTATTAAATTTTTACATTGGTAGACAAAATCAATATTATCATTATTACAGAGGTGGGAGCCGGACATCATCTGAAATTAGTACAGTAAAGAAAGGTTTTCCACTCCGCTCTTCTCCACCCCAATCAATATAAATATCAATGTTAATATCAATATAAATATCAATGTAAATATTAATATAAAATTAATGTAAAAATCAATATAAATATCAATGTAAATATCAATATAAATATCAATGTAAATATTAATATAAAAATCAAAGTAAAAATCAGTATAAATATCAGTGTAAATATCGATGTAAATATTAATATAAATATTAAATATTAATATAATTAATAAAATATGTAATTATTATTATCGTTATTGATAGTTAATAAATTAAATCAGTAGTTTATTGCATTGTTAGGTTTTATAAATCGATCTGGTCATGATCTGCATAACAAATCAACCTGGGCCATTTTACAATCAATAAAAATTAAAAAATAACATGTGCCAATCCAGTTCAACTTAAATCCTATATCGACATGAAACACATATATTTTCAAATTATAATTCTGATATTAACTCAAATTCTAACTTTAACTAATAATATATTAATTTTTTAAAATTAACTTATAATATTATAATATGCTAAATTTAATAAAATCTTTATTTAATGTAAAATAAATTATAATATATATTTAGCTAAAAATATTATTAAAATATATTATTAATTTTTTGATTAATAAAAATTAACTGTTATTTTAATAAAATTTGATATATTGGTAGTTATAAGATCAATTTATTTGTTTTAATACTTTAATAAGAAAGATTTTAATAATAATTCAAGAAATTTTATAAATAGCAAAGTTTTAGACAAGAAAAATTTGTTTTTTTTTAATTTTTTATGAATCTAATTTTATTATACCAATATATTGATCAAGTTTTTTTATAAGTATTACTTTTTTATTAAATTATTCCTTTTAGAATTACTTAAAAATTTTTTTGTAAAAACTGTCTAATAGTTTTTGAATCTTTTGTTAAATAATAGTTTGTCAAATAACTTTCTAATTTAATTGGTTTACTATAATACTAAGACATTTTGTAAAAATTACAAGTTGTTTTATATCTTTTTTCTGAGGGAAATTCTATTTTCACCCGGGTTAAAGTTACCTGATATATAATTTTTATTATACTTTATAATATAAATTCATATAATATCATAAAATTCATCTACCCTAACCTATAACTAATCTATAGAATTTTGAGTTAGTTATAGTAGTTTGTATTATATAATATAATAGAAATTATATATCAGGTGACTTTAACCAGAGTGAAAATAGAATTTCTCTTTTTGGGATCTTTTTTTTTATCTTTAATAAAATAATTTCAAATTAAACTATCTGGATAACTACATAATATCTTTTATTTTTCTATAACAGAAGTGAATATACTAGTATTTTTTTTTTACTAAAACTTATTTTAAAAGTAATATGTAATTTCTAAAATATAAAAATATTTTTTTTGTATATTAATACTAGTTAAATCAAATATAGTAATTATATTATTATTTATATTATAAAAATTATAAAATCTAAAAAATTGTATTTTAGAAAAAAATAAGTAATAGTAGTGATAACCTACAGATACTCAGGTTTGGATTTTGAAATAGATATTATTACTACTTCTAACATAGAATTTTACCCAACCTAATATTTAATTTTAACCTAGCACAAATTTATTTAGTTACATATCTATACATAATCATGCTATTATATACGATGCCTTTTAACCAATAATCGAAATTTTACTATTTTGATCTATTATAAGTAAATACTACAACATTATTTCCTTAAAGTTAGCCCTAAAATTTAGGGCCAGATATAATAGAGCATCGGGAAATAATTACCAATAATAATAATGTTACCAAATTACTTACATATGTAATATTTAATTACAATATTGATATAACGATAAATTTATTAAAATATTTAGATAGCTTTTTATTTTACATGAATAATATTAATACATAGATAAGCGCTACTAAAAGAAAACAGGATTTCAGGCTTTGAATTTTCAAGGCTGAATTGATTATTATAAGTTCAAAAGCCTGAAGTCTAGTTTTTTTTGTAATAGTACTAGAATACAAATGAAAGGCTATCACTAGTCATACGCAAAATATCTTAATTTACTAAAATGGCTCAGCACTTCCAAAGTCTTAGAGGATTTAATCTTCACTGTGTTTAGCTTCGACTTTTGCAATTTGCAAAAAATAGGTTTCCCAACAACAGTAGTGCCGCCTCGTCTACTCTTACATTCTCTAAAAAATATAATAACCTAAATTCTCGAAATACTCGCGCCTCCTATAAATAGCATATGTGGATTTGAAAAAAACCAGGTTTCGAAATAGGAATCTGTCCGGTACTGCCCAGGTCGGTCCTTAAAAAGTCCAATCCTAAACTAGTTCACAAATTAGTTTAACCCAAAAGTTTAAAATACAA